TGCCACCTCTCTCCTGCACACAGGCCGCCATGATGGCAGAGGAGCTGAAGAAGGAGCAGGACACCAGCGCCCACCTGGAGCGCATGAAGAAGAACATGGAGCAGACCATTAAGGACCTGCAGCACCGGCTGGACGAGGCCGAGCAGATCGCACTCAAGGGTGGCAAGAAGCAGCTGCAGAAGCTGGAGGTGCGGGTGCGGGAGCTGGAGAATGAGCTGGAGGCCGAGCAGAAGCGCAACGCGGAGTCGGTGAAGGGCATGAGGAAGAGCGAGCGGCGCATCAAGGAGCTCACCTACCAGGTGCGGTGGCGCTAGAGGCCAGAAGTAGATGTGGAAGTTGCTTCTCTGGTCCCACTGCCTGGCCCACATAGGGCTCCTGTCACTTCCCCCTTAAGACGCTGTGGGTAGATTTAATCTTTCCACGCTCTGCAGTCAGTTTGATTTGAGTTTATGAGTTTTTCCAGAAAATGAAGAATCTACTTCTACTTCCTGAAAACTCTTCTAACTAGCCTTTCCCTGGGTTTTTTTAAAAAATAACTTTAAGTGCTACCATGAAGAGTCCAAAGAATCTTTCCACCTTGGACTATGGGGATAAGAATCAAGCGAGGGAAAAATACTTGGAAATCTTCCATGGAACTTCTAGCACCCAAAGAGAAGGCCACAGAGAAAGAGGGCCCCAGAATGTTCTAAGACCTCCATCTGCATAGCTCAGAACTGTGCCCGTGACCTGTTATTTTCAGTGTCCCTGGGAAGAAAAGGCTGAGGAGACAAGGGTGTCACTCCATTTGATAGATGGATGCCAGAGGCACAAGAAAGATTACAGATGCAGAACTGCAGGGTGATTTGTGGGCAGAAGTAGAAATGGCATCCTAGCACATACAATGATAAACAGATAGGAAGGATGGTGTAACGTTGGAGCCAATGATCCTGAGACCTGAATTATGGCCCAATACAATATATTAGAATATAGAGTAATTTGGATTATGATAATACCCCCTTCTTTCTGCATTCTTCATTATTCCTCTTCTGGTCAAGAACTACTGGCCAAGAACACCTGTGTAGGTCCAAGTTGGAGCTTTATCCACCAGACTGGAGCTGGAACAGACCTGGTACCTTTATATTACCGCATTAAGGAATTCCATTAGGTTCTGATCCCCTTCCCCAACTTCTAGCTTTAAGACTGCAGCCTTCATTGCTTTGTGAATCCCTGACTGACAACCTTGCATCGCCCCTTTGGCCTACAATAGAGTCGGAGAATCTTCTCCACCACCTCTTTGACCTGGACCATTGTAGGGAAGGGCAGTAAAGGCAAAAGAAGAGTAAAATGATGGAAGAGGGAAAGGTGATTGCATTTGCTCCTCCTCCAAACTAGCTTCTCCCACCCTCCCGCCCCCAGACAGAGGAAGACAAAAAGAACCTACTGCGTCTGCAGGACCTGGTGGACAAGCTGCAACTGAAGGTCAAGGCCTATAAGCGCCAGGCCGAGGAGGCGGTGAGTTCAAGGTTTTCTTTCCTTTCTCATCAACACACCTACTGTGTGTGAGAACTAATAAGCATCTCCCACAGAGGGGCCTGGACAAAGAGTTTGCTATAAACTTTATCTCTCAAACATTAATTTTACACATCTGGTATGCTCAGAGTTGTGTCAGGTGTTCTGAATTAACAAAGGCACCACCAACAAACTTCAGACACCGTAACCCATCAGAAGGCAGTGTAGATGCTAGTGCAGGACATGGGGCAGTCAAAGCTGAAGGCAGGAAGATGGCAATGGAATTAGGCCTGGAAGGGGACCCAGCTAGGCATAGGGCAATGGGGAAGATGTCTGGGTGGATGTGAGCTGCTGATGGGCATGCCTGCTCAGAAACCCAGGGGCTGGGACAGGTGTAGCAAAACTCAATTTGTCTTAGGCAGTGGATGGCTGTGAAGGACTCCGAATGCTGTACAAGTTTGAGGAGGGTGCAAGGTGGGTGCAGGATACCCTTGGAAAGGGTGTTGCAGGAATATGCCTGAGGCATGAGTGTCTCAAGGACAGGGAGCTGGAACCTCAGGCTGAGAGGCTGAGAATCCCAAAGCCCATCTCAGCTCATTCACCCATCCCCACTGTCCCACCACAGGAGGAGCAGGCCAACACCAACCTGTCCAAGTTCCGAAAGGTGCAGCATGAGCTGGATGAGGCAGAGGAGCGGGCAGACATCGCTGAGTCCCAGGTCAACAAGCTGCGAGCCAAGAGCCGTGACATCGGCGCCAAGGTGGGTCCTTCCCCTGGGTTTCACTAGTCACTTCCACATTAGCATGTTCCCTGACATGGGTGCCCCTCAGAGTGGGCACTGCTTGCCCTATACGTAGGCAGTCCCACAGCTCCCATAACCTGAGAATCCACTCTCCTGCTCCAAACAGCCCCCCACTGACTGGAACTTCTGCAGAGAGCCCCAGTTCTATCCTCCTAAATCACAAGTGCATCTAAGTGGGACCCAAGATCCCTGGGGCCCTGCCTGTCCCTCAAAGGGCATCTCCTTTAGGCCTCTAAATCCCCCAGGAATTTGTCCCCACACCCTTCTCCCTCTTGCCAGCTGGCCCCTCATACCTCTTATTCTTTTTGCAGCAAAAAATGCATGATGAGGAGTGATGCTGCCTCAGGAACCTCGCTCTTGCCAACCTATAATAAATAGGAGTGCCAAACTCTGCCTGAGCCCATCTGTCCTTCCTGCCAACTGTCCATCCTGGAGGAGGGAGGCCCCCAGCCCCTGTATTAGAGCTGCCGGAGCCAAGGGATCCCATATTCACAAGGAAGGAGACTGAAGTGCAGAGGAGTGAGGTGCCCTGCCTGAGGTGGACAGCTGTGAGTCCCAGTTCTGCTCAGTCAACCACACAAGGGTGGAAAGGGAGAAATTTCAAAAGTGGAGAAGACAATGGCATCAAAATGGTGAGACAGTCCTAGATAGTAGGAGGTAGCATTTTGGTCCTGAAGCTGAAGCCACTGTCCACCTACCTTACCCCTGAGGCAGCAACAGTTAAAGATGTCCTAGGACACCCATTCTTTCTGAAATGAATTTTCCACCAATGCCAGAAAAGGCTCAGAGCTGGCTGAGAATTAAGGTATGGGAAAGGAGATGGGAGAGATTCCATTCTAGTCAGCCCCTAGGAATTAAGCCCCAGTGAGTCCCCCTCTCTGTCTTCCCCAGGGGTCTCCCCCTGCCCCTTGTGGTTCAGCACCTCACCATGAGACTTTGGGGCAAACCAACACTGAGACCAAACCAATATGCCATGAGGACCAAACCCGGGCATTGCTCATTCATGTTGGCTCTCATACAGACTCAGACAGCACAGGTGCCTGTATAGGGGAACACTGTGGTCACATTTCTGCTCTCTCTGAGCTCTTACTAGAGACAATCTGGCCTGGGTCACACAACTGCATGTGGGACAGGGCCAGTCCTGACCCCATTCTGCACAAAGCAAATCCCAACTCCCCACTGGGCTTTGCAGCCAGGCTGTGCTGACCACCTCCTTAACCTTCACCTGGAACTCCATCTCCCTGACTCCCTGAGTGGAGCCTCTTCTATCCCTCCTCTGAGATTTCGAGAATGGACTATTCATAAAGCCCTGAGAACCGTGAGCAGTGACCAGAGAAACACAAAATCCTGTTGGTTCTAGCCCAGGAGTGGCTACCAGCCTTGATGGAGAGCCAGGACTTGAGGATAGGAGAACAGGGAGCAGGAGGCGGGAAAAAGACCAAGAGAGAGGAGTGGTTGCCACCAAGGGAGCAGAGCAGTGTGACCAGAGTTCAAGATCCAGGCTTCAGGCAGGACTTGGGAGCTGGGGCCTGCAGCTGGAAGGAGCACTCCAGAAGGATTGTATTTCAGGGCAGGAACACACACGCATCAGCGAGAGGAGAGAGCCCATCAGCTGGGATGGAGCTGCTCAGCCAGGCCATGCTGGGCCCCTCAGGCTGGGCAGGAACGTCCCGGCTGCACTGGTCTGTCTCAGCCCAGCAGGGCTGACTCCAGGCTGTGGCAGTGTCTGTTCCAAACTCCCCTAAGCCTTCTCATAGTGTTCACTGTGGGGATCCCTTGACCAGCTTGTCTATTTCCCAGCCTGTGAATACCCAGGGACAGGCTCCCCTGTCACCTCTGAGGCCCTGGCGCCCAGCACAGGGTCTGCCTATGGGAAATGCTCAGGAAATATGTGCTGAGGAGCTGGCAAGCTGGGAAGGTGGACCCACAGTGGAGGGATGAGTTGGTCATTCTTTTCTGAGCTACAAGGAGGCTCAGTACAGTATCTGGAACACCCGCTAGGCACTAGGTATCAGAAGAGCTGTGTTCTAGCCCTAGCTCTGTCACAAATGAGTTTACCTACCCTAGCTGAGCCTATTTTCTCTTATGTGAAAGGAGGGCGTTGGACCAGCTGATATCCATGGGCTCTCCCCAGCATCCACATTTTGGGAAATTTCTCCCTTCCCTGATGCCTTAGGCTGCCCTCTCCGTTTGTCCTGTGGACCAAGTCTTCCCCACACCACGAGGGGGAGCTCTGCACACACCCCAGGCAAGCGCCTCGCCTCCAGCCCGCTAACCTGTGGGAACAGGTGTGGTGGTGGATGTGGCCATCAGGAAGGCCGTGCCTTCTCACACGCAGAACTCCAGCCCAGCCACCAGGCATACCACAAAATGGCCTTGCACACAGAGGTGTGGTGTAGAAGTTTTGTGTTGGAGGATGTCTTCAGCTTCTTCTGGCTAGCCCCCACATCCTCACTGCTCAAACCCGGTCCTAAAGAGGGGCCACAACCTGCTCCGGCAGCATTTCCATCAATACTCCTTGGAATTCCTGGCCTGCCTAATTTCTGGGGAAGAAAGAGACTCACCAGCAGGATTTGAATATTTTAATTTGGGAACGACTTAGGGACCCAGCTTCCTCCCCTCCCTCCTCCCTCTCTCCAGAAGTTCCCCTCCTCTGGCCAGAGCTTCATCAGGAGCCAGATCCCAGAGCACCAGGCTCCATGGATAAGTCCCCAGTGGCGTCTCAGGCCAGACATCTCTGTAAGGCTGGGGTGGGGTTTGTTGGGCTTGGGGGCCAGTGAATCCCAAGGAGACGTGTCTAGGCTCCATTGTCCCCTCTGGCTGGCTGGGCCTAGGAGCCAGGTATCCCCAGAGTCACTGCCGGTCCCCTGTGAAGATGGAGCCAGGAAGGGACCCACATCAGGATGGGTAGCTAAGGGTCGGGGAGGGCATCTCTTCTCAGAGAACACGCACTCACCCTGGCTGGCCCCGGGCGCTATGTCAGTCCGGTAGATCTTGAAGGCATCATAGGCAAAGACGGAAACCAGGATGATGCCAAAAACCTGTGGGAGGAGCAGTGGGGATGGCAAAACGGAGGCTATCGGGCCACTGGGTTAAGATATGGGAGGAGGTGCAGATTGGAACCCCAGGCCCTGGCTGTGGCTTCTGACACAGAAAGTGTGCAAGCACTAGCCTGAGCTCATGAGGGGCTGAGGAGTCCTGCAGGGCTAAACTCACAAAAGCAGCAATGGCAGCTCCATCCCGGGAGGTCACAGCTGCAAAGGAGACCACCAGGAAGATGATGATGGCACTGACACAACGCAGGAAGTCCTGGGGGCCAGAGGTGCAGGGTTAACAGGACCTTAGAAGGCAGGGGGTGTTACCCTGAGCTTTTCCAGGCTACCCAGCAGCCTGACCCTGAGGGATTCTGAACCCCCTCCACGGGGTGCCCCTCACACAATATGAAGCACCTTCAAGAGACAGAGCGCTCACACTGATCCCCAGGAAGTGGAAGCAGATGAACCCGGAACAATCAGGGCCAGAAGCCAGGCACTGGAGCTGGAGCCCACCAGCCAGCGGGGTCAGGCCAGGCCAGGGCTGGGGCTGGACCTTTGCTGAGTAGGAGAACAGATCTAGGGGACATGGTCTTCCTGAGTACCAGTGGCCCTGCAGCTGTGAAATCGGTGTGGATCAAAGCACACCACACCTTTGAGTGCAGGACATAGCACGGGGCAAAGCCCAGCGGGGGTGTGGAGATGGAAAGAAGCTTGGGAGAGGAAGGAGGCTCTAATCCCTTCCCCTAGCTTAGAAAGGAAAGGAAAACGCAGCATTTAGAGGAGAAGGAAGGACCCCAAACTGGGCTGGGCTCAGGGTTCCTCACCAGACAGGGCCAGTTAAGCCGGTCGAAGCGCTGGTAGTACTGGGTGGCGTAGAGGAAGAGGAAGGCAAGTGTGATGAAGAACTCCAGCAGCGCTGCGGCCATGTAGGCAGAGATGGAGGCCGTGAAGCAGATGAAGATGATGAAGGTCAAGGCCTGCAGGACCAAGCATGTGAAACATGCCAGGAAGGAGACATAGGCAGGGGCTAGGCCTTTGCCTTCCCCTCTGTGGGAGCTAGCCTAGGCTGGCAGGCACCACCTGTCCTTGGAGAGAAGGAAGGACTCCTGTGCATCTCCCTCTCCCCTGGTGTCAGGAGCCACCATGGCAGGGCATTTGCCCATCAAGGGCAATCTCCGGCCTCCCACTCTGCTGACCCAGCAACCCCAGCAGTCTGGCCAAGCCACATGGCTCCCAGGAGCACTATCCCACAGTAATTCACCTGAGTGGTGTCCCCCAGGAGCACGGGTACAGTGTGAATGCCAGTCCCTAGAGCTGTGCCCACAGGGGCCAAGAGGTGCCCCCTGCCCCATCATGCTTTCCCTATTCCCAGATGCCTGAAAGCCCTCTGACAAGGACCAGAGCCTTTGATTCTATGCCAAGACAGAAGGTTTAGAAGGCAGATGCTGCCCAGTGGACTCTGGGGGTCCCTTGAGCTCTGGTGACATAGGGTGGCACACATGCAGAGGCCTTAAGTTTACACTGTGGTCTTGCTAAGTAACCAGGGAAGATACTTTCCTGAGAAGAGATGTTCCTGGACAGCAGGCCACAGATAAAGTGCAGCTGCAGGAAGTCTGCCCTTTTTGATAATTAGGCTTCTTGGACATGCTGACAAGTGGCCATGTTAGAGGCTGGCACTCCTTTGTCCCATCCCTATGTTTCATGCTCCCTCAATGTCCCAAAAAGCTGTCCTGTCTAACTGCAGTTTTTCTTGCTGCAATGTAAATAGCTCCAGATGGAGAGGCAGCAAGAAGGCAGAGCAGGAGATGAAGAAGGGGCAGCTGGGAGCAGGAGAGGTGTCCAGAGGGCCTGGGGAGGGAGGCTGCTGAAGGGTGAGCTGGGGACTGGCATAAGGCTGGCCAGGAGCTAGGAGTCGGGGAGATGGAGGCACCAGGTTGGGGAGGCAGCTGTTACCAGCTCGGTTTCCAGCAGGATGCCTTTGAGAGAGGTGAGGAAGTTCTTGTCCACCGCGAAGCCCTGGAGCTCTGCAGATACCCCCTCCTCAGGGGGCCGGTCCCGGCGATCTCGAGCACTGAGCATCTCTGTGGGGCCCACCAACACAGCCCCCTCCTGCCACCAGCCCAGCAAGAGAAGCAGATATCTGGCAGGATGGAGAAACAGACAGGAGCAAGAAGGGTCTTCAAGAAACCTGCAAGTGAAGCAGGAGGCCTGCCCACAGGGCCCTGGGAGAGAAGGCGGCCGCTGGGGGCCTTGCCCAGATGGGCCCTCACCCAGCTGCCCAGACTGCCTCTGCTGCTGCCCGCACCAGCCCCCTAGAGACACATGGGGAGGGGCAGAGAGGGAGGAGGCTCTAATCCCTCCCCTTGCTCAGAGCCCAACCCAGCCTGGAGCAGAGGAGAAGGAAGGAGAGAGGAGGAGGTCTGAAAAGAAACTGGGAGGAGCTGGGACGTGAGTAAAGGAACAGGGGCAGGACTGGGAGGACCCAGGGACCTAAGCCTGAAGACATTTGTGTCCCCCTTCCCTAACCTTAACCCTCTTCTTTGGCGGGTCCTTTCTCCCATTTCCTTTTAGAAAGGATGGGAGCTGGAACCCAGCCCAGGCAGCACCCCCAGGACCAAGCTGCAGCAGCCAGGACTGGAGGACAAAGGCGGATTGTTGGGGGACAAGGGGGCGCTGTGTGCCTGCTGCAATGCCTCAATGGGCCTCTGTCTCTCCAGCATGCTGGGAGCGCGGCCTAGCCCCCACCCTGGTGTTCGGGGTGGGCCAGGGAGACAGAGACTGGAGAGGGTGGAAGGGTGCAGCAGAAATTCTGGAGAGCAGAGAGAGCTGGCAGGGTGGGCAGAGGTGAGGGCCAATGGTGGGAAGCAGAAGGGACAGGCTGGGAGACCGCGAGGTGTTTAGGAACCATGGATGTCAAAGACAGATTAGGCTATTTTAAAATATAGATATTTATTTGGATAAATCTCTACATTCAATAACAGCTTCCTCCTCAGAATCATTCGTGTCAAAAGACTAGTAAGTATACCAGAATGCACCCAAAATAGATGCTCACTGAGTGATGAGTAAACAAACCAGCAAATAAAATGAGGGGCTCTCCTCCGGCAAGGGGAAAATATCCAGAAAGTGCCTGTGCTGGGCCAGGGTAGCAGGAGATGGGAAGACAGGAAGAGACAGAAGTGGTGACCTCCAGAAATGGGCAGAACTTTGAAAATCTTTCCTAAGAGAAAATGCCAGGACACCAGCTTCCAGTGACCCTAAGCAGCAGCTGCTGTTTTCAAAATATGCAAAAGTGCAGGTTTCCCCCAAAGCCCCTCATCCTGTCCCGGGATCCTTCTGTTCCACACGGCCCTTTGCAGGGGCCAAGCATCTGTGTGTCCTGGCCCTTCGTGGCAAGTGGTTGTACACCTGGCTCCAGTTTTCCCAAAAAGGGACCAGCCTCCAACCGGTCCAGCTAGGCCATCACACGGGGCCGCACGCACACACAAGCCAAGGAAACACGGTACAGCCTGCGCTCCAGGCAATAGCCCTTGTGGGTGCCCTGCTCGCCACGGCACGGCCGCCGGTAGAAGACAGTCTGGTTGTGGTAGAGCAGCTCTGAGTTGCCCTGGGGGTCCATGTGGGAGCCTGTCTGCAGGCTGACGCAGTGTGGGCACAGGCAGCGGGCGTGGTACAGGTCCTGGGGGAGCCGGTTCAAGTCTCTGTCCAACCTGTGGGGGCGGCACTTGTCAAGCCTTGAAGAGCTGGGCCAGAAACAGAGAGGATGGGGTGGTGTGGGAGTAACAAAGGAAGGAAATGGTGCATCTGGGGCCTTGGTCTCTTGTCTCAGATCTGCACCCACTTGCTGTGTAACTTTGAACAAGTCACCTCCCTCCTCTCTTAATTAATTTTCCCCCTGTAAATGAGGTTAGCACGTGCTTTCCAACTGGTCCTGGGACCCTGAGGGAGGAAGAGGAGGATGAGCAGGCTCCTGCCTTAGCCTCCATCGACGAGCACTGCCTCTCTCTGGGCTGTAGCATGAGTTCTCTTAATTGTAGTGATTACACTTTAGATCATCTTTCTTTCTGTTTGTTTTTGTTTTTGTTTTTTTTTTTGTTTTTTAAGATGGGGTCTTGCAGTCACCCAGGCTGGGATGCAGTGATGAAATCTTGACTCAACTGCAACCTCTGCCTCCTAGGTTCTCCTGATGCCTGCCACCGTGCCAGCTAATTTTTGTATTTTTAGCAGAGATGGGGTTTCACCATGTTGGCCATGGTTGGCCAGGCTGGTCTTGAACTCCTGACCTTAGGTGATCCGCCCACCTCAACCTCCCAAAGTGCTGGGATTGCAGGCATGAGCCACCGCACCTGTCCTTCAGGTGTTCTTTCTATTATTATTATAGCATGATTGCAAAAGTAAAAACCACTCTGACGTCCAAGTATAAAAGAGTATAAAGAGTGAAAGCTAATAGTCTCTCCCTACCAGTCCCACTCCCTAGAGCCCAGAGGAAGCTATCCTCAACTGTTCCCTTAACATTTTTCCAGACACTGTGGAAGAAAAGAAAGAAAGGAGGGAGGGAGGGAAGGAAGGAAGGAAGGAAGGAAGGAAGGAAGGAAGGAAGGAAGGAGAAAGAGAGAAAGAGAGAGAAAGAAAGAAGAAAAACACTGAAAAGTAAATGGCCCACAGGTCTGGGACTCTGTTAGTCTGGCGGGAGACAGTCCCCGGCTTGTAGGACCATTCCCCACACAGACCAGCCTGGCCAGTGGGTTCAGCTAGCACAGCACATCCCAAAGTGGGTTTCCTAATAAATCCCCTGCAAGAAAAAGGTTGGGTGCTTAAATGAATTTGGGAAACACTAGTTTAACGGTTTATTTTCTACAGACTTCTTGCAGACTTTAATGTACAGATGACAGTATGAATCTCCAAGGAGTAGGAGACAGAGCAGTCTTTCCCAAGTTTACTTGGCATTACTTTTTTCTGAAAAGCAGCTCATAGGATGAGTGCTATACAGAACGCACTTTGGGGAAAGCCACCTGAGTGGTCCTCAGGGATTCACAGACTCCCAGCAAGGGGTCTGGAAGACAGTTGAGTTAACCCTCTGGCACCCAGCCTTCCCTAAGAAGCTCCTGTGCCATCCACTTTGGCCCAGGGACCCAGCCAGCTTCTGAGACCGCTCCAAAGCATCATGACCTGTGGTATCCATCCTAGATCCCTCCCCACCACTGAACTTCTCCATCCATCCCCAAACCCAATGCTAAGACAGAATGAGATGGAAGAAGTGATGTCCAATATCTGGAATCCCTAAGACTCTAGTTTTTAATATTTTCCTTCATTGTCCATATTTCAGCACTTCCTAGTATTTTTCACATCATGACACAAATAGAGAACTATAATATTTATGTGGCACACTGAGTGAAAGAATATAGTAACCATGGTCATGATTAAAGATAACCAGTCCAGAGCTCCAACCAGTCAGCTGTCCCTGAGAATTGAGGGTTTCACTCCCTTAGTATACTTACAACTAACCCATTCATGGCCTGTGCAGTATCATTTGGATTGGGATGTTTCATGCCTGTATCATGCCATTATTCCAATATTTTTCTCAGAAAAACATGGACCACTATAGGGATTTTTAAAAAGAAAAGGAGATCCCTGGTGGTTTAGTGGTTAAAATAAATGAATATATAAAAAAGAAAAGGAGAAAACCAACATAAATACAGACTTTAATATACATTATTTCATTTGATCTGCACATTAGCATATGGGACAATATATCATTTTACAGGTGTCAAAAAAAAAAACAAAAAAACCCTGAGTCTTGAAAACTTGAATAATTGACTCAAGGTCATCCAGTGAGAGTCAGAGCTAGGACTCAGATACAGACCTCTCTCAGATCAAAATGGGAAAGTAAGCTGGAACTTCCCTCATCCCTCACATGTACCCTAACCAGCACACACAGGAAAACACATTCAGGTATTCGGGAGGGGTGGCAGACTCACTCATATCTCCAGGGGGAGATGGCCCTGCTGTTGAGGGGTCCATCTTCGCTGGCCCTGCAGGATTCTGGATGGTGGGGGAGGCTAGCAGGCTCCGAGGGAGGCACAGGCACAGTGTTCCACTTCAGCCACTCCTCACGGAGGTCCTGCACTTTGCTGGAGCAGCAGCTGGGCCAGAGGCTGCAGTCCTTCTGCAGCCGCAGACTGGAGATGTGGGTTCCCATGACCATTGCCAAGAATGTAACCACCTGTAAAAAAAGGCTAATGAGAGAACTGTTTCCACCTAATCTGGGTTGCCCTCTCACCTGTGCCCACCCCCTGGAATCCCAGATTCTGGCTCCACCTGGCCCCCAGCCCCAGACCTGGCAGGCTGGCCTCCCTCCACCCTCAGCAGCATCTCTGCTCCTCTCCCTCTCAGCACAGCCCTCCGGCAGCCCTCTGCACTGGCCTGGTACATGCTGGGCACGGCTCACTCAGTCACAGGTGGAGCACTGGCTGACAGGCCTGGTGGAAGCAGGCTAACTAGAGCAGGTTAGGAGTCCTGGTTTTATTTTCAGCTAACCTGTTTTGTTTATTCAAATTTATTTCCACTATCTTTTTAGGGAGTGACTTGAGATTATAAAACAAAACAAAACAAAACAAAACCCTGAAAGTATTTCCAAAGGCTGCTTAAAATGCAATACTCATGGAAGTTGTGATGACCATCACTATATGCCTGGTAGCTGATTGGGTAAACTTTGCTCTTTGAACTTTTCCAGGCATGGGGTCAAAGCAGTAGCAGTCTGCTATTCTGTTGTGAATTGGTACTATGGGAATTTCCCTGTGGCCTCCCTTCAAGAGGCCTCGTTTTGCTGATCCCTGCTGCCCCCATCCAGGATCTGGCGTTACCATTCCCCTCTTCTCAGATGTTCTCCTGATACCCACCTTTGTGAATATTTCGCTTCCCTTAGATATCCTTTGAGTCCCATTCCCTTTGTTCTCTGGCCTCTTCTGCATTTTCGATGACCCCAAACTTCTATGACCACCAATATCTATGACTTCTCCCCTGTTGTCCATGACTCACTTCGTAACTCCCCCTTGCCCTCACCAGTCACTGTCCCCCATCGGGGATACAAGCTTATCCTCACAGGGCTGCAGAGAAGGCCCTGACTTCCTGAGTTTGTTGGCTAGATGGGCAAGGTCTGATGGAAGAAGCTGTGGGTGAGTGTTCCCATTGCACAAATGAGAAAGTGAATCAAGGAAGAGGAGGGAAACTGAAACAGCCTCACCTAAGAGCCAACAGGAAGGAGGTCTCAGTTCCAGAGACCAACCTGCTCTCATTCACAGAGTCTTGGGGACCAAGCCTATGACAGGGTCAGCTACTGCTCTCAGGCCATGAAGTGAGCCCACTCACCCTCAGCAGGCCCAGAAATATGGGCCACTATCAGTCAGGAGGGAGTATGTGTGCCCTAGAAAGGCTCAGAGTTGGGCTTGACACCAAAGACACAACAGGTCAGCCGGGTCCAGCCTGCTTGGGAGGCACTGTGCTGAGAGTGGGCAGTGCGGCCTTCCCTGCAGGTCCTTCTCTTCATGCTTGCCTATTAGTCCCCCTCCTTCCCCACACCCACCCAACATGCCCATACACAGACATTGCCCCTAGAATGATGCGGCTTGATTTGCATGTGCTTTCCCTTAGAAAATACTCCTCTAGTAACAAAGGACTCAGGAAATAAACAAAGGGAACCAGGAATAATTTAAACTGCAGAGTGAGGGGGAACCTTTCAAGTGCTTTAGGGCCAAGCAGCTCCAAAAGAGAGGAGTGATGAGGTCAGAGGGCAATCCAGAAAATTGGGAGAAGCTGCTCTGCTCTGGTGAGTCTTGGGACACCTGGAACTGTGGGATGGGGGCACTTAGAAGAAACAGGTGGTGTCTTGGAGAGCAGGGGCACTCAGGAAGAGTTATGAGGCCAGTATCATGGCCCCACTCTCACTGCCCCACCCTCTACCCAGTGTACTCCCAGACGTCCTCTCCCTTCCATATCCTGCTGGCCTCAGCTCCTGTGCACACTTACATGTGCCAGGCATGGTGCTAAGCCCTGAACATGCATCATCTCATTTTATCCTTAAATGAAACCATGACATGGAAACTATTATCCCCATGTTACAGATGAGGAAACTGAGGCCCAAGGAAATTTAATAACTTTCTCAAGGTCACAAAGAAAGAGGCTGAGCTGGTTTCTCATTCCAGCTCTGACCAATTCCACATCTAAACTCCTGGCACAGAAGTGCCACTCCATGCTTATCCCCAGCTGGCTGTGAATGGAAGGGGAGCCCCATAGCGAACGCTTTCCTACTCACCTGGGCTTGGGTTGGGACAAGTTCCAACTGAACCTGCTAAAAGCCACAGGGCATTTCTGCCCCTTAGGCATCCAGCCTGCTGGCTGGGATTCACTGCGCTAGCTCCCTTTCCTAGCCTTTGGTCTAGAACGCATGGACTCAGGGTGGCTTCTGGTGCTCCTGGAAAAACCTCAATCCCAGGACAAGCTCTTAGGAGGCAGTGCCATTTCATAAGAGCTGGATTCTTATGGGTCTCACTCTCACCAGTCAGAACCTCAGGGCTAATAAGGTAGTAGAACTGGAGTTGGCTCAGATCTCCCATCTTGACCCCTGCCCAGGAGGGGGTGTTCAAAGGAGCCAGAAGTGATCCCAGCTACCTGCTTCATTTGCTGACACTGCAGGGAGGACCCAGCCTAGATCACCAGGAATGTTGCCCTTCAGAAGAGTCCTTTAGGATATCCCTGTAGGGCAGAAGGAGAACCTCTCCAGGAAGGGTTGGCTTTTCCCACCCCTGTGATGACCAGGACTGACCTGAGAACCTGTGCTCTGAGCCACATGCCCCCACCCCACCCCACTTGCTCACCCCCTGCCCTTATCTCAGTAGCAGCTTTGTGGGACTCCTTAGGGTGACTTCCTGCCATGAGAAACATTTTCCAGAGGGGTTTCCCCTTTAGGTGACTAGTTTTGGAATCCCTGAGTCACTTCAGCTTCCAGGGAACCCTTGTGGGTGTGGGGATATGGGGGTGGCAATGGGGAGAATGCTGGAGGCAGGAAGAAAGGGAAGTCTGCATGGCACGTGACATCAAGGTCCCCTCCCAGCATGTTTTCACCTGCCTAGGCCTGACCTGGCAGCTGAAGAGAGTTTCCTGGGATTCCTGTTCCTGCGGCCCCGAGAAAAGAGAGAAGCACCTGCCTGGAAAGGACAGGGAAGATGTGGTGGAATATACTTTACAATCTTGGCTTGGAAAGGCTCGTGGGGCTTGCAGGAAGTGAGAATATGGCTTCCCTGACACTTCTCAAGAAGATATGCAAGTCCCACCTGCTGCTTTGAAGTCTTGGCTCTGCCAATAACTAGCTCTGGACCTTAGCCCTCTCTCTGCTCCTCCCTCTTCATTGGTAGAAGTGGGTGGATTTGGGTGGGTGATGGTTGGGGGGAACATTAACCTGCATGGCCACAAAGGTGCCAACCAGCTTAGCTGCTCCAGACCTCACCTCCTGAAATAGCGCTGAATCCACAGGACTCAGCAGGGTCTATTGAAGCTCACTGGCACTCACTGTACATGAAGCTAGGGCACTGAACATCAAAATGTTGAAATACTTATGTACCTACTGGTAAGTAGATGCTTCCCTCAGGCTTGGGCCACCACCCTACCATACCTGCCTATGATCCAGCAACTAAAGAGTGAACACCTGGTACAGATGGAGGCCCCCAGAACAGTGCTACCACTTTCTGATTGTAAGGGATAATGGTTTAGCCACAAAAATGCCTAGGCCCAGGAGCAGCTTTCAAGGACAACCCATCTCTAGACCCATGGGAGATATGGAGAATCAGAGTTAGCACAACAAAGAGCCCAACAACCCCATGCCTTTAGCCCAGGGCTGGATACTTCCCCAGGAGGCCCCTTGGTTTACTTGGCTTTGTCCTATAGTCATGGCTTCCTTTGTTCATTCATCCACTCACCAAATATTTATTGCGCACCTACTATATTCCAAGCACTATTCTAACGGCTAGAAATGCAGAGGAAGACAAGACAGACAAGGTCCCTGCTTCATGAAGCTTACATTTTAGAAGGACACTGATGATAAACAAGGATACAAGATAATTTCTGATAATAATAATAAATGCTATGAAGAAAATGAAACAGCATTATGAGGTAGGGAGTTACTGGGGGTGGGGGAAAGGAAGGAGGGGCAACTTTAACTTGGAAAGCCAGGAAAGGCCTTTCTGAGTATACAGGATTTGACCTGATGATGGACAGGGTCTGGGGGAAGTGGTTTAGGCAGAGGGGGCAGGACATGCAAAGTCCTAGAGGTGGAAAAGAGCATGGCATATTTGAGTAACAGAAAGGACAGTGTAGTTGATGAACAAGAGGCAAGGGAGAGAGTGAGATAAGGTGAGGTGAAAGAGGTAGGCAGGGAGCAGATCACATAAGGGTCTTCCAGGCTACCATGGAGTATTTGAATGTTATTCCAGGGTCAGTGGGAAGGTATTGACTGGATTCAAGCATGAGCTACATGATATGTTTCTTGAGGGCAGACGTCATGTCCTTGATATTCTAGTGCCCCCACAGGGCCATCACCCAATAACAATAATAGTAGCTGCCTTTGCTCAAAATTTGCACATCATGGGCCAGACACTGTTCTTGGTATTCTCTTAATTCTCACAACAAATAAATGCTAAAAGTTCCATTGATACTCCCACTTTACAAACAAGGAACCAGAGGGTCCAGGAGGTCACAGAACTTGCCAAGGTAACTAGCCAATGTTGGAACCAGGATTAGGACCCAGGCAATCTGGGAACTATGGGTCCAAAGAGAGAAGGACTGAAGAATTGGTGTGCATCCAGGAAGTTCTGGTGAACAACCAAGAAGTTCCTCCTGCTATCCAAGTAGGGGTAAGGTGAGGAAGAAACAAGCTCATTGGACCTGCAGTGAAGGGGAAAGAATGGGAGAAAAGACTGGGACCCAGGAAGCCAGATGGAGGGGTTTCTTCCTTTCTTCTCCCTGAATATGGCAAGGGCAAACCTTGAAGACCTGCTGTCTGAGGCTGCTACCCACCCAGGGTCTTAGCTACCTTCCAAGCCTGGGTCTTCTCCAACCTCTCCTGAAGCCTAGAGCTCTCCGTGAACAAGTCAGAATCACCTTGAACCTGTTTGCAAAGGAGAGGGCAGAAATAATGGCATAAGGACAGGAGCTCCACCTGCCCTCAACAATGAACACTTTCAGCTTTCAGGAAAGCGCAAGTCAGAGGGGGAGCCAGGGTAAAGAGGAAAAGCCACAGAAGAGCACTGTGCCTGGCAATCTACATAAGCTTACTCCTCACCAAAGTCACTGTTACAGAGAAGGAACTGAGACTCACATGCCCTATAACTGGACCAAGGTCACATTGCTAGTTAAGCAGAATTCACTCGTGACTGACTGTCTCCATTCCACACCTGGGTATTTCAGAAGCTGTCTTATTTCCCATTCATTTGCCCTCTGCTGTCCTTCTTCTACCCTTCCCTGGGCAGGGAAGCTGCCTGCCCATCTCCCACCACCTTGCCTGGTCCTAGCAGCTTCCTTCCTGCTTAGCCTTTTCTGG